GTCATCACTTTTACTCACATCTTCAAGCAGAGTATAGCACTTTGTCTGGGTTTCTTGGGTTATCCTAGGTAATTTATACTATGTATACTTGTATTTATGTGTACCTGTGAGACAGAGATAGACAGACAGATAGAATGAGGGAGAAAGATAATTAGATAGAATGGAGGAGGGGAAGCAGCATCCGACCCCATTGTTTTGACAGGCCGGAGGGGGAAAGAGTAATGAGCCAATATGTCACTTTGACAGCTGCCGACTCCTTGTAATTTACACTATGGACGAGGAGAAGAAGGAGAAGGAGGAAGAGTAGGGGGAAGAGGAAGAAGAGGAGGAGGAGGAAGAGGAATAAGAGGAAGAGGAGGAGGAAGAGGAATAGTAGGAGGAAGATTAGGGGGAAGAGGAGGAAGAGGAAGAAGAGGAGGAGGAGGAGGAGGAAGAGGAAGAAGAGGAGGAGGAGGAAGAGTAGGAGGAAGAGGAAGAAGAGGAGGAGGAGGAAGAGGAAGAGTAGGAGGAAGAGGAGGAAGAGGAAGAGTATGAGGAAGAGTAGGGGAAGAGGAGGAAGAGTAGGGGAAGAGGAGGAAGAGGAAGAAGAGGAGGAGGAGGGTGGAACACTAGTACACTGGTACTGGTACACTAACATTTCTGTCTGTCTATTTGTCTGTCTGTCAAGCTCCCTGTCTATCTGTCTATCCGTCTAGCTCTCTGTCTCAGAGAGCCACAAGACTGTGTCATCACTTTTACTCACATCTTCAAGCAGAGTATAGCACTTTGTCTGGATTTCTTGGGTTATCCTAGGTAATTTATACTATGTATACTTGTATTTATGTGTACCTGTGAGACAGAGATAGACAGACAGATAGAAAGAGAGAGACAGATTGAAAGAGATAGAATGAGGGAGAAAGATAAAACACCATTGTGTATGACACCATGTTTCAGAGTTCCACAAGCTGCAGAACTAATAGGAATATGTTCAGTGACTGTATATTGGTATATATATTATAGAACAATAATAATAAACAATGTTTTGTATTATTTGTTTTTGTAAACAAGTTTTGTAAACAATATATTGATAATTATGTTTGTGTGCTTATTGTGTTGTATACAACGAGTGTATATATGTACATTGCACCTTACTTTGGTCTCATAGGCCACATAAGTTATGTGAAAAAATAAAATAGTGAAAAAAACAACAAACCTTCAAATACAAGTAAATCAAAGTTTACCGGGTGAGCGGCAGTCGCCGCTGTTGCCATACGCGGCTCATTTTCTGCAAACTTCATGCATCCATATCTCCGTAAGTATTGATGGTAAAAATTTTTTGTTTATCCTATAATGTTCAGAAAAAAAAACTCTTATTTTTTCATAAGAAAAAATAATTTTTTTTTTTTTTGAAATTTGGCCGACCCTGAGAACGAGTTTCGGAGAGGGCCTGTCGACCCTCAAAGGGTTAAGTATCGTGTAGCTATGTAGGTAGGTGTATATATGTAGCCCTGGCTACCTACCTCTACTGGCTACCTACCTCTACTGGCTACCTACATCTACTGGCTGCTTAGTAAGTTTATTCAGTATATACAAATACAGTTACATAGATTATCATACATAGCAGCATATGTGTAGAGAACCTGGGATAACCCAAAAAAGTCAGACACATTGACTTCATACAAAAAAGTACTACTCACCTCTTGCCCTACATTAAGGCTACAAATATTTTAAGGTAAGTAATGAATGTGGAAGAGTTGGTAGATGACCACAGGGAAGAACTAACCACTGAAGAGCTGCAACACTAGTTAATCTTTAAAAAATTTAGTTTTTGTTAATATTTTTGGGTGTTTGGAACGGATTAATTGTATTTACATTATTTCTTAAGGGAAATATTGATTCAGTTTTCACATGTTCCAGTTTTAGAATGAGCTGGAACTAATTAAGTTCGAAAACTGGGGTTCCACTGTAATCCATTTTTTTTGTGCTTACTGATTGATTGCAACTGCAAAATAATCAACCATGGGCCCAAAGAAGTTCCTAGTGAAGTTCCTTTGGTAAAGAAAGTGAGAAACACGATGGAATTTAAGAAAGAAGTTGATGAAAAGTATGAGAGTGGTGTTTGAGCGCTAGAACTTGCCAGGATGTATGGGAAAGCCAAATCAACAATCACTTCCATCCTGGCAAAGAAAGTAGAAGTCAAGGGAGTTTAGCAGGGAGTGTAACAGGAAAACAGGGAGTGTGGAAGGGAGACAGGGAGCATAGCAGGGAAACAGGGAGTGTGGAAGGGAGGCAGGGAGTGTAGCAGGGAAACAGGGAGTATGGAAGGGAGGCAGGGAGCATAGCAGGGAAACAGGGAGTGTGGAAGGGAGGCAGGGAGCATAGCAGGGAAACAGGGAGTGTGGAAGGGAGGCAGGAAGTGTAGCAGGCATGCAGGGAGTGTAGCAGGGAGGTAGGGAGTGTAGCATGGAGGGAGGGAGTGTAGCAGGGAGGCAGGGATTGTAGCAGGCAGGCAGGGAGTGTAGTAGGGAGCCAAGGTGTAGCAGGGAGTGGACGAGGAAGGCAGGGAGTGTAGCAGGCAGGTAGGGAGGGAAGTAACTCCAGAGAGGGCTTTGATACCTAAAGTCCTTATGGAGGGGATTTCCCTTCCAAACAATAATCAGTCCTCTCTCTTCAATAAAGATGAGATAACATTAGATTACAGCTGATATTTAATAAGCATACGGGATGGTGTGGTGATAACACTTGATAAGATTAGAGGTGGCATTTGATGAACATCAGCCCTCGCTTTGTGCTTTGTTTTCGCTGGTACACAAACATGTCTGTCTATTTGTCTGTCAAGCTACCTGTCTATCTGTCTATCCATCTAGCTCTCTGTCTCAGAGAGAGCCACAAGACTGCATCATCACATTCATTCATATCTTCAAGCAGAGTATTGCACTTTGTCTGGATTTTTGGGGTTATCCTAGGTAATTTACACTATGTATACTTGTATTTATGTGTACCTGTGAGACAGAGACAGATAGAAAGAGATACACAGAGACAGAGATAGAGACAGAGAGATAGACAGAGACAAAGATAGACAGAGGCAGACATAGACACAAACAAACAAACGGAGCCAGGCCGCCAGCAGCCGGCCAGCCACGCAGCTGGCCACCCAGGTGGCCAGCCAGCCAGCCAATCAGCCAGTCAGCCAGCCTCCTGAACAAGTATTACATTCCACAATAGCTTCTCTTTACTTAGGGCGTAGGTTATAAGACATTCTGAAAGGGTGTTGCACTCAATTCGGGGTCAACATCACTTTCCTCTTAAAATGGGAGAGTTAATACTACATGAAATCAGTGAATCCCAGGTGTTTGCCGCGCTGTTTGCTCTAGCTGGCGCTCATTTGAGCTGGTGCTCCCACAGGGTACTAAGTGGTCCCAGATTTTTTTTAATATGGTGCACACTGAGCGTTATGACCCATTCTATGCTGACAAGGCATCTCAGGCCAATCGTGCCATATTTGAAGGCAGGAAAAATAAAATGTTTATATATGATTGGGGCACCAGCGGTACAAACGTATATATACGTTTGGACCGTTTACGGGTTAATGAAGCACTTGTGCAACACTTGAGTATTTTTATTGGGGAAATGTTTTGCCAGCCAATGGCTTCCTCAGTCCAGTACAGAGAAGAATAGTAGAAGATCAAAAGGAGTTTGAGGTAATCAGTCCCTCACCTGGAGTCTATGTGATTACCTCAAATGCTTTCTGATCTTCCACCATTCTGTACTGGACTGAGGAAGCCATAGGCTGGCAAGATGTTTCCATAATAAAGATTCATAAGTGTTGCATGAATGTCTCATTCATCAATGTTTTGGCTTTCTGAACCAGTTATCCACAACTGCTATGAATATTGTGTTAATGAGGTTAAACTAGTTTCTTTGTGATGTTGCCAAGTGTCAAACACTGCATAAAATGATGGTGTCATTGTGTATTGTGAATCCATTCCTCATGTAGTATTCTTCAGCCTTTTACAAAGCAAAATACAGTAAGAAAGCAGTAATACAATAATGCTTGGCACAATACCATGAGTAGAACAGTACATACAACCTTCGCATAGGAGAATGAAACTTATCATTCCGGGTGACCCCCGGAACTCTCTCCAGGTAAACTCCAGGTAAACACATTGGGCATCTCCCAACAAGGCAGGGTGGCCCAAAAAAGAAAAACTTTCATCATCATTCATTCCATCACTGTCTTGCCAGGTGTGCACTTACACTACAGTTATGTGAAAAAAGACACTTATGTACAGTTCAGGACATTTATTAGAGGAAACGTTTTGCCACGAGTGGCTTCTTCAGTCTGAGGAAGCCACTCGTGGCAAAACGTTTCCTCTAATAAATGTCCTGAACTGTACATAAGTGTCTTTTTCCACATCTTGTCGGTATCACCATACCATTTCCTCACTACAGTTATAAAACTGCAATATTAAAACCCCTCCTTCAGAGTGCAGACACTGTACTTCCCATCTCCGGCAGGCCAGACTCAAGTCTGGCCTGCCAGTTTCCCCGAATCCCTTCATAAATGTTACCTTGCTCACACTCCAACAGCACATCAGGTCCATTAACCATTTGTCTCCATTCGCTCCTATCTAATACGCTCACACATGCTGGCTGGAAGTCCAAGCCCCTCTCACACAAAACCTCCTTTACCCCCTCCCTCCAATCTTTACTAGGCTGACCCCTATCCTGCCTTCCCTCCACTACAGATTTATATACTCTTGAAGTCATTCTATCTCATTCCATCCTCTCTGCATGTCCGAACCACCTCAACCACTCCTGAACTTATGACGACATTTTAGTCCGACTTGAACCATTAACTAGTTAATGGTCCAGGTTGGGCTGAAATGTCATCATAAATTACATTCTCCCATGTGCAGATTATTTGTAATGCTTAGAGACATAAATAAAATTAAAAAAAAATAACATAGTGTAATTTATGACTTGGAAATAATTGAACTGCATTCTTTTTATCATTACAGATTCTTTGAGAGAGAGCCATGTGTAATAGATGCAAAACATTTTTCTCCACAGAGAAGAGCCAGATATTTTTGGGGAAATTTGCCAGGTATGTAATATATTGTAACTACAGTGACTCTTTTAAATTTGTATTAGGTTTGTATCGAGGATATGTAGTAAATTTTAGAAATCATACTTATTAACTGTAGAATTGTGTGATCCAGGCAGATTAATGCCACAGTCTAGCGGGTCACTACCTCGGGGCTGGTACATGTCCCCCACGGTTACAGGTGACAGTGAAGGTTGCTTCATCACTCCAAAGTACTTCAGACCACTGTTGAGGAATCCAGTGAAGATATTTCTTTGCTTAATCCAGCTGATGGTTCTTCTGTGGCTTAGAGAGGATTGGTTTCTTACCCTGACGGTGACTACTGTAGCCCAGTTCTGACACGTGTCTGTTAACAGTTCTTACAGACACCTCTGAGAGAAGATGTGGGTTTTTTCTTTCAATTCTCTAGCAGTTATCTTAGGTGTACTCTCTAACTGCTTCTTTAACACAGTTAAGGAGCAAACAGATGCCTTTTTCGAGGGGTCAGGCTGAGGTTTGGCAGATGGTAACTCAACACCACCACCAGCCTTGAAAACGCTGCACCCAGTTTCTCACCGAACGCTCACACACACCAACATTTTTCACTATTTCTTTCGTCTGGTGCCCAGCTTTGCGAAGCCGTATGATTTGAGCTATAGTTTCAGGTGTTAACCCTTTGACTGTTTCAATCTTATATATATACACGTCTTATGAGCCAGTGTTTCGGACGTATACTCAAAAATTCTACCGGCTTAAAATCAAGTGGGAGAAAGCTGGTAGGCCCATATGTGAGAGAATGGGTCTGTGTGGTCAGTGTGCGCTGTATAAAAAAAAACCTGCAGCACGCATTGCATAATGAGAAAAAAAAAACTCCCACCATGTTTTTGGATTAAACTTTGAGGTGTATTTTTGTATAGTATTTATGGTTGTATTCTCGTTTTCTTGGTCTCATTTGATAGAATGGAAAACATATTACAGAAATAGAGATGATTTTGATCAGTTTCACAGTAAAAATAACCTTGAAATTGAGCTCAAATTAGCAGAAATATTCGATTTTTGCCAATGTTCAAGAGTAAACAAAGCACACCACATGTCCAATACACGTCAACTGGTGAGTGTGATATTCTTTCACAAGTACACTGATATTATTTATTCCATTTTTACAATAATGCAGTAGTCTACATAACAGTAAATCTTCTGTTTTTTGTATGAATAAAAAATCAAAATAGACAGCAAGAGTAATATAAGAGGGGCCTGGAGACATGACTAATGAACAGAGAAAATATTATTTTAGTGCCAGGAATGTCTGCACTGTTTATTCTGGACCCTATTTTGAAATGGGCATCTTTTTTAATTTGCGTGAAATTGGCCAAATTGCCAATTTCTGACCACTTTATTGGGTAGTTGAAATCAGTAAATGGGCGGTTTCTTGTACTTAATCGATGGAATAAATGGAGTTCTAAAGAAATAGCTATGAGTTTGGTCGACTGGAACAATGGAATTGGCCGAAAATAAGGCTCAAAAGTCGGCGAAATTGCCTATGCGTATATATCGCCGAGATCACTGACTTTGCGAGAGCATAATTCCATAAGTTTTCCATCAAATTTCGTACTTTTGGTGTCATTAGCATCGGGAAGATTCTCTATCATTTCATAAGAAAAAATATTTTTTTTTTTCAAATAATTTGCAGCATAGAATAACATTTTCAGAAATGGGCTTGCAACAGTCAAAGGGTTAAAGACTTCCTTTTACCCATAATCAAGCATGTTCAGTAGGGCCCCACTTTACGGCGTTCTGCTAATACAGCGATTTCAAATTATGACCAAAACTCTCTATACAGCTTCTAGTCTTTCTAACAAGGCTCACGCCACCTGGTTTGTTTACATTCTCTGTGAGTACATCTATTATGTTTGGAAAATTTCCAAAATTTCAAGTGTTTTAAAGTTATTGCATATTTTATATGTACTCTGATAATTATACTTATGTGTACCTGTACCTAAATACACTTACACACTGTGCTGGCGTGCAGGTACACATCAACATCACTAAGAGTATCCCTCTAGCATTAATGCCATAGCAATAAAACTAATATGTATTAATAATCACTCTTGGGCATATTAAATGTTTTATTTTATGTTAATATAGACATTTTCTTTAATCCATCTATGATATTTTCTTCAAAATTATATAAGAAACATGTTACATAGCATATAAACATGCTATGTTTATATTCTATAGAGGTGTGATAGCTGGGTGGAGAGAAAACATTACGTTTTCTCTGGTCCAGCACCAGAGAAAATGTGTTTGAATCTGCATTTGGCCTAGTCACTCCCCTTAACACTCCGCTTTTGTTTACAGTTCTTGGCGTGAATTATTCATTACTTCTCCCTTTGTTTATGATGGCATCTAAAGGTAGTTGTTAGAAACGATTAAACTCAGTGAAACAAGGTATGTCGATGGTAATAATATAGCTCAGGGCCACATTAAATACATGTAGCTATGTAGGTAGGTGCAGCTATGTAGCCAGGTGGACTACATAGGTACATTTTTCTGCTACTTACACCTGACTTCCTACAAATAAATACTACTCACCTCTCATCCTATATTAAGACTACACATATTTTAAGGTAAATAATGAGTGTACTGTATGTGTATTTTATCTCTCTGGGTTGCTTTAAATATCATATACACCTATCATCCGACTTACGACCTGCTTGACTTACGACCACTCGACTTACGACCGTGTTTTTTATGCCAAATTTCTGGGAAATAAACAACTATTTGTGTTGTACACAGTGTTTATCCTAAACCTTACAGTATAAAATACAGTACTAACAGCATAAAAAGTAAAGTAAAATATGAAATACCAAAATAAAACAATAAAATAAAGTCATTACAAAAAATATTTTGTTGATATTCAGTACGTAGTAAAGTTCGACTTACGATCATTTCGACTTATGACCGGTTTCTCGGAACCGAACTCGGCCGTAAGTCGGATGGTAGGTGTATTAGGTTTGGGATGGGGAGCCAGAGCTACCTACACCTCACTTCCTACAGATAAGTACTATTCACCTCTCGCCCTACACTAAGACTACAAATATTTTAAGGCTAGTAATGAATGTGCTGTTTGTGTTTTACTTTTTATTGTGTTTCTAATGCCTATTTCTATTACTAACTTAATATAAGTTAATGTAAACTTGTCTGGCATTTAAATGCGTTTGTAAGTGGAAAAATGGTGTTCTGCTTTCCGGCAGTAGCCTAGAACCTAACCTGCCATGTAAGTGGAGCCCTACTGTATAGTCCCAAAACCAAAGGGAACACCGGACAAAAGATAGGGTGGATGAGAGACAAAAGTGCAACACTTCCTCTCACCATGCCAGCCATGTGAGCACTGAGGAGTCACTGTGGAGTGTGGTGGCAGGTTGTGATGTCTTGCTAACAGCTGCTACCCAGCATAATACACTGACAAAAAAAGATCCCCCTGCATTATAGGCCTTTGATTTTCATCATGGCATTATGCCGGGACGCTCACCAGGCGTTATGCCATGACTAGCACTGTATATACAGTAGACCGTCGTTTAACACAGTTTTGTTTGGCATGTTTTGGTTATAGCACTACTGAAGAATTGCGGCATATTTTTGTATAACACTTTGTAAAATTAACTTAACGTGGTTCAGTTTGAGTAAATATGAGTTTGTGTGATGACTGACTGACATATTTGACTGATTGACTTACTGGCTTTACTGATTTACTGACTGACTTACTGATTTACTAACTTACTTGACTGACTGACTGCCTGACTTACTGACTGACTGTCTCCATTAATGACTGACTTACTGACTTGACTGACTGATTTATGCACACTCCAGTACAACCATCGACTTCAGTACCAGAACCTCTACCATCCACCTCAGCCCAGTAGGGCAACAGCATAACTCTCGACTCTTCACAATCATTCACAACCACTACCACCCACAATTTAAGGTAAGAAACACTATTATTTCTTGCGCATTTGTAATCTTAAGAAGTAAAAACAACATAATACATCATGACAATGAACTACAATTGCATATTCACCCTTATTTTTGTAAGATCTGTTGGTCTAAAAAAAGTTGTTTGGCTTTTTGAGGGCTCCCAGTAACGTAACCCTATTTTTACTATAAGTTCTTCAGTTTGTCTTGCACGGTTTTAGCTACTATGGCGTTTCCAGGAACTTGACTACAGTGGTACCTCAAGTTTCGAACAGCTCCCAACTCAAACAATTATGTAAGTGTATTTTAGTAAGTGCTTTTGTAAGTGCATTTTTTTGGGGTCTGAAACGGACCAATCTAATTTACATTATTCCTTGTGGGAACAAATTTGTTCGTTATCGGCACTCGAACAGCCTTCTGGAACGAATTAAGTTTGTAACTTGAGGTACCACTGCACCATGTTAAATAACTGTCTACTGTATACAGTGGAACCTCAAATATCGAAATTTCTTCAGTCTAGAAGGCTGTCCAAGTGCCGTTACCAAATGAATTTATTCCCATCAGGAATAATGTAAATTAGATTAGTCCATTTCAAACCCTCAAAAATACACTTATAAAAGCACTTACAAAAATACACTTACATAATTGGTTGAGTTGGGAGCAGTTCGATTTTTGAGGTTCCACTGTACAGTGGACCCCCGCATAACGATGGCATCGCATAGCGATTTTTCCGCATAACGATTACTTTTATCGCAAAATTTTTGCCCCGCATACCGATTAAAAACCCGCATACCGATTTTCGTCCGAGACGCGTCCAATGTGCCCTCACATGTGCCGGCCGTCCCATTGTTTACCAGCCAGCCTCCGCGGTAACATCCAAGCATACACTCGGAATATTTCGTATTATTACAGTGTTTTCGGTGCTGTTTGTGGAAAATAAGTGACCATGGGCCCCAAGAAAGCTTCTAGTGCCAACCCTGTGGTAAAAAGGGTGGGAATTAGTATGGAAATTAAGAAAGATTTTGAAGGGTTTGGGGCTAACCCTGAGAAGCCTATGCCAGTTGTGGAATCCATTGTGCCTACTTCAAAGATTAAGGAAATGTGTGCAGAGTGGGTTGAACTGCAAACCTTTATAGATGAAAATCACCCTGACACAGCTGTTGCAAGCCGTGCTTGTGACTATTTCAATGACAATGTTATGGCCCATTTTAGGAAAGTCTTGAAGGAACGGGAGGTACAGAGCTCTATGGACAGATTTGTTGTGCGACAGAGGTCCAGTGACTCTCAAGCTGGTCCTAGTGGCATTAAAAGAAGAAGGGAAGTAACCCCAGAAAAGGACTTGCTACCTCAAGTCCTAATGGAAGGGGATTCCCCTTCTAAACAGTAAGAAGATAATGCTCTCCCCTCCTCCCATCCCATCAATCATCACCAGATCTTCAATAAAAGTAAGTGTCATGTAATTGTGCATGCCTTTTTCAGTTTGTGTGTATTAAAATTAACATTTCATGTGGTAAAAAAAAAATTTTTTCATACTTTTGGGCGTCTTGCACGGATTAATTTTATTTCCATTATTTCTTATGGGGAAAATTGATTCGCATAACGATTATTTCGCATAACGATGAGCCCTCTTGCACGGATTAAAATCGTTAACCGGGGGTCCACTGTATATATATTTTTTATTATTATTAACACACTGGCCGATTCCCACCAAGGCAGGGTGGCCCGAAAATGAAAAACTTTCACCATCATTCACTCCCTCACTGTCTTGCCAGAAGGGTGCTTTACACTACAGTTTTTAAACTGCAACATTAACACCCCTCCTTCAGAGGGGTGTTAATGTTGCCGTTAATGTCGACCGTCTCCCACCGAGGCAGGATGACCTAAAAAGAAAGAAAATCCTCAAAAAGAAAATACTTTCATCATCATTCAACACCTTCACCTCACTCACACATAATCACTGTTTTTGCAGAGGTGCTCAGAACACAACAGTTTAGAAGCATGTACGTATAAAGATACACGACATATCCCTCCAAACTGCTAATATCCCGAACCCCTCCTTTAGAGTGCAGGCATTGTACTTCCCATTTCCAGGACTCAAGTCCGGCTATATAAAAATAACCGGTTTCCCTGAATCCCTTCACTAAATATTACCCTGCTCACACTCCAACAGATCGTCAGGTCCCAAATACCATTCGTCTCCATTCACTCCTATCGAGCACGCTCATGCACGCCTGCTGGAAGTTCAAGCCCCTCACCCACAAAACCTCCCTTATCCCTTCCTTCCAACCTTTTCGAGGATGACCCCTACCCCGCCTTCCTTCCCCTACAGATTTATACGCTCTCCATGTCATTCTACTTTGATCCATTCTCTCTAAATGACCAAACCACCTCAACAACCCCTCTTCAGCCCTCTGACTAATACTTTTATTAACTCCACACCTTCTCCTAATTTCCACACTCCGAATTTTCTGCATAATATTTACACCACACATTGCCCTTAGACAGGACATCTCCACTGCCTCCAACCACCTCCTCGCTGCTGCATTTACCACCCAAGCTTCACACCCATATAAGAGTGTTGGTACTACTATTCTTTCATACATTCCCTTCTTTGCCTCCATAGATAACATTTTTTGTCTCCACATATACTTCAATGCACCACTCACCTTTTTTCCCTCATCAATTCTACGATTAACCTCATCCTTCATAAATCCATCCGCCGACACATCAACTCCCAAACATCTGAAAGCATTCACTTCTTCCATACTCTGCCTCCCCAATTTGTTATCCAATTTTTCTTTATCTAAATCATTTGATACCCTCATCACCTTACTCTTTTCTATGTTCACTTTCAACTTTCTACCTTTACACACACTCCCAAACTCATCCACTAACCTTTGCAATTTTTCTTTAGAATCTCCCATGAGCACAGTATCATCAGCAAAAAGCAACTGTCAATTCCCATTTTGTATTTAATTCCCCATAATTTAATCCCACCCCTCTCCTGAACACGCTAGCATTTACTTCTTTTACAACCCCATCTATAAATATATTAAACAACCATGGTGACATTACACATCCCTGTCTAAGATATACTTTTACTGGGAAGTATTCTCCCTCTCTTCTACACACCCTAACCTGAGCCTCACTATCCTCATAAAAACTCTTTACAGCATTTAGTAACTTACCACCTATTCCATATACTTGCAACATCTGCCACATTGCTCCCCTATCCACTCTATCATATGCCTTTTCTAAATCCATAAATGCAATAAAAACTTCCCTACCTTGATCTAAATACTGTTCACATATATGCTTCAATGTAAACACTTGATCTACACATCCCCTACCCACTCTGAAGCCTCCTTGCTCATCTGCAATCCTACATTCTGTCTTACCTCTAATTCTTTCATTTATAACCCTACCATACACTTTGCCTGGTATACTCAGTAAACTTATTCCTCTATAATTTTTACAATCTCTTTTGTCCCCCTTCCCTTTATATAAAGGGACTATACATGCTCTCTGCCAATCCCTAGGTACCTTCCCCTCTTTCATACATTTATTAAACAAAAATACCAACCACTCCAACACTATATCCTCCCCTGCTTTTAACATTTCTGTCATGATCCCGTCAGTTCCAGCTGCTTTACCCCCTTTCATTCTACGTAATGCCTCACACACCTCCCCCACACTCACATCCTGTTCTTCACTCCTAGAAGATTGTATACCTCCCTGGCTAGTGCATGAAATTACCGCTTCCCTTTCTTCGTCGACATTTAAAAGTTCCTCAAACTATTCTATCCATCTACCCAAAACCTCCATCTCCTCATCTACTAACTCCCCTATTCTGTTTTTAACTGACAAATCCATTCGTTCTCTAGGCTTTCTTAACGTGTTTAACTCACTCCAAAATTTTTTCTTATTTTCATTAAAATTTCTTGTCATCTGCTCTCCTTTTGCACTCTTTCAACACTCTGTTCACCTTTCTTTTACTCTTCATATATATATATATATATATAAATATATATATATTTTATCAGTAGTGTATAATATATTAATACTTTTTCAGGAATGTATGATCCTATCCCATCACACCTGCAAGAGAATTACAGGCTCAGCCAGTATCTCCATAAGGTTTGTGTTAAGATTTTTATAAAAGCTTTTATTTTCATATAATGTTGACTGTCAGTTAACCCTTTCAGGGTCGAGAGGCCCTCTCCTAAACTCGTTCTGAGGGTCGAAAATTTTTCCAAAAAAAAAAAAAAAATTCTCATGAAATTATAGAGAATCTTTTCCCGATCATAATGACACCAAAAGTATGAAATTTGATGGAAAACTTACGGAATTATGCTCTCGCGAAGTTAGCGGTCTCGACGATGTTTGTGCATTGGTGATTTTGCCCACTTTGAGCCCCATTTTCGGCCAATTCCAGTGTACTAGTCGGCAAAAATCATATCTATTTTGCTAGAACTCCATTTTATCTATCGAATGAGTACAAGAAACCACCCATTTACCGATTTCAACTATCCATTAAAGTGGTCAGAATTTGGCAATTTTGCCAATTTCACATAAATTTCAGAGGATGCCAATTTCCAAATAGGGTGCAGAATAAACAAGACAGACATTCCTGGCACTAAATAATATTTCCTCTGTTCATTAGCCACATCCCCAGGCCCCTCTTACATTTCTTTTGCTTTCCACTTTGATTTTTTATTCTCACGAAAAATAAAAGATTTACTGTTATGCAGACTACTGCATTAGTGCAGATATAGTATAAATAATATCAGCGCACTTGTGAAAGAATATTAGACTCACCAGTTGACGTGTATTGGACATTTGGCATGATTTGTTTACTTTTGAACTTTGGTAAAAATTGAACATTTCTGCTACTTTGAGCTCAATATCAAGGTACTTTTCATTATGAAACCAATCAAAATCATCTCAATTCCTGTAATATGTCTTCCACTCTATAAAATGAGACCAGGAAAACTAAAATACAACCATAAATACCACACGAGAATACACTGCAAAGTCACTGTTTTAAACCAAAAACACGGTTGGAGTTTTTTTTTCTCATTATGCACTGTGTGCTGCAGGATTTTTTTTATACTGTGCACAGTGACCACATAGATCCATTCTTTCATATGTAGGCCTACCAGCTTTCTCTCACTAGATTTGAGGACACTAGAATTTAGGCGTTCTTGTACGTCAATAACCCTGGTGTGTAAGCCGTACTAGTACAGTGGTCCCTCGATAATCGTAGTTCTCGAGAATCGTAGATTTCGGAAATCATAGGGATATTTTCGTATAAACATGGGCTCGCTAATCGTAGATTGACTCGCAAATAGTAGTTCGTCCGGGACAGGTACACACAGCCCCAAGCTGCCTCACACTTCTTTCCCAGTCAGTGTGCCATTGTTTATCAGTGAGTGAGGATGATCCCACGAGTTCATAGGATACATTTCATAATATTCCATTCGTTTTAGTGTTTGCAACTGCTAAATAAGTCACCATGGCTCCAAAGAAAGCTTCTAGTGCCAGCCCTTTGGTAAAAAATGTGAGAAACACATATAGTAGGTAAGTACTGGTTTTCTAACAGAGTGGGGTGATAGAGGCTAGGACCTTGGGTAGCTTTAAGAAGAGACTGGACAGATATATGAGTGGGAGGGGCTGGGTTTGTTTGGTGTCATTGGGTACGGGAGTTATTTCATGGGTAGCTTTGGGTAGAGGGCGTTTTGATAAGGACCTGCCTTGCATGGGCCAGTAGGCCTTCTGCAGTGTTCCTCCATTCTTATGTTCTTATGTTCTTAATTTAAGAAAAAGTTTGTAGAAAAATATGAAGGTGGTGGTGGTAGAGTGGAAGCAGTTGTGATAGTGGAAATAAATGGTATTAAATACCAACACAGTGGAAATATAAACACATATGCAGTATAATGTGATCCTTTATTGACAACGTTTCACCCACACAGTGGGCTTTTTCAAGTCACACACAGATCTACCTGGGGTGGAAGGTACGGGAGTATTTATAGTCATGTTCAGAATGTTGAGGTCAGGTGGAGAATGCTGCATCTGATGATCTACCGGGTGGAGTTATAGAGTCTTGGGTAGCTTGGCAGGGGTATTGGACAAGTTGTGAGTAGACCTTCTGCAGTGTTCTATGTTCTTATGTGGGATAGCGATGAAGAAGTTTCTTGGCGAGTGGTTCAGCTATGTTATAGAAGCCGTTGTTCTGGTTGAAATTGTTGGTTATAGAGATAAGCGATGATTCCAGGATTCTTCGGTATTGAGTGTTGTCTTCTGTGGCGATAAGTCTTGAGTTTCTGTAGTTAAATAAATGGTTGTGTGAATTGCGATGTTGTACACAGGCATTCCTTGTATCGTCAGTCCTGCTTGCATATTGGTGTTCTGAAATACGTGTTTGGAGGTCTCTTGATGTTTCGCCCACATATAATTTGTTGCAGTCATTACAAGGGATTATGTATACCCCTGCAGAGGACGGTGGCTTGTCCTCTCTACTACTGGTGATGTCCTTGATGGTCGTGGTTGTGGAGGTAGATACTTGGAATGATGTATTGGAAAAGATGTTGGAAACATGTTTGGCAATGGAGTTGGTGGGGGGGACTATGTATCTCTTCTCGGCAGTGTCTTCTCTGGGTGTGTTGAAGATGTTTAATGCCCGCCGTCTGCAGTCTCTGATGAAGTGACGAGGATAGTGGAGTTTAGAAAATACTTGTTCAATTATAGTGCATTCTTCCTCAAGGAACTCATTGCTGCAGATTCTGAGTGCACGCAGGAAGAAGCCTATAATTACACCACGTTTGGTTTTGGTGTCGTGGTGAGAGTAGAAGTGGAGAAGATCGTTTTGGTTGGTGGGTTTTCGATAGACTTCAAAACGAAGTTCGTGGTCAGCTTTGCAGAGCAGAACATCAAGGAAAGGAAGAGTGTTGTCGACTTCTTCTTCAAGTGTGAACTGGAATGAAGGCTCGACCTGGTTGAGCTTGTCTTGGAGAGCTTGAACGTTGAAGCGTTTAGGAGTTATGAGGAGAATGTCATCAACATAACGGAGCCAGGTGACAGACGAAGGAATAATGGTGGAGAAACGTTCGGCTTCTAGATGTTCCATGTATAGGTTCGCCAGGACCACACTGAGTGGCGAACCCATGGGTAGTCCAAAAGTCTGCTGAAAGAGGTGATTTTCGAAAGAGAAACACGTAAAGCCAACACATAGTTCAACAAGGCCCGATGAAATCGCTGGCTGGAATGGGAAGATTAAGTGAATCGTCAATTTTCCTGCGCAAGAGATCGATGGCTTGTGTAGTAGGTACTTTGGTGAATAGAGAAGTCACGTCAAGGCTGGAAAGTTTCTTGTTCCTGATGTTGATGTTGCGAATGCGATTGAGAAGATCACCCGAGTGTTTGAGATGTGCTGGACTGATAGTGCCCAAGAGTTTAGAGAGGTGTTTTGCGAGAATTCCTGAGAGCTGGTGGGGAGCACTGCCTATTCCCGAGGATATGGGCCTCAGTGGGATACCAGGCTTGTGAGTTTTTGGCAGGCCGTACATTCTGGCAGGTCTGGGGTTGCTTGGGATGGTACTCCCGTACCTTCCACCCCAGGTAGATCTGTGTGTGACTTGAAAAAGCCCACTGTGTGGGTGAAACGTTGTCAATAAAGGATCACATTATACTGCATATGTGTTTATATTTCCTCTGTGTCGGTATTTGATACCATTTATTTCCATCGTGTCAAACACTGCAGTAGAAATGGATCCTTCACACAGAGAATACCTGGACCTTCTTCTAAAAGCTTACTCACTTCGCAACAGACACAATTTTCTTCGTGATTGCATCCAAGAAATGGTTTTACCAAGATCTACTCCTCCTCAAATTGCCAACATCAAACCACCTTTCTCCGCTACAGCTCGGACCTACCTTGAAGAGTGTGCAGATGACTTAAACAATGCTACAAAGGAAGCTTTTCTCCAAGCCAGAACACTAGGCACAACACTCCAGGGCAACATGAACAGACGCACTGCTGAAATCATTCGCAGCAGAGTTACCACGGCGAATGTTCAACAGAAGATCAGACTTACTAGGAAACTACAAACACTCTGCGATAATAGTAATTGGAAAAGTTTAGGAAGCCTGAAATTATTCAAAATCTTTCATCTCGTCCACTGTCAACCACAGAAACTGAAGCCCTCAGCTTAGGCCTCAAATTCGCAACAGGAGTTACGAAACCAAAACAAGACCTCAATTTCATCGCCAGAAACTACAGACACAATGACTCCGACTTCCAAAAAGGCTATCTTCAAGGCATCATCTCAGCAGCCATCTCAACACGCAGCTCCCCAGTCATACCTCGACGTTACATCAATGCACTTAAAAGGGTTTTAGTAGAAGACACGACCATCAGGGTCACCACCGCTGAAAAAGGGAGGTGGTGTTGTTATCATGAACACTGACGATTACAGGAAAAAAATGCTCAATCTACTTAATGACCCAGATACCTACAAACCTCTCACAACTAACCAAGTGGACAACCTTACTAAAACTTTTCTTCAAAGGACTCGCCGCATTCTGAGGGGCTCAAACAAGGGAAGAAACTTCTGCACACCATCCCAAGCAACCCCAGACCTGCCAGAATGTAGGGCCTGCCAAAAACTCACAAGCCTGGTATCCCACTGAGGCCCATATCCTCGGGAATGGGCAGTGCTCCCCACCAGCTCTCAGGAATTCTCGCAAAAAAACCTCTCTAAACTCTTGGGCACTATCAGTCCAGCACATCTCAAACACTCGGGTGATCTTCTCAATCGCATTCGCAACATCAACATCAGGAACAAGAAACTTTCCAGCCTTGACGTGACTTCCCTATTCACCAAAGTACCTACTACACAAGCCATCGATCTCTTGCACAGGAAAATTGACGATTCACTTAATCTTCCCATTCCAGCCACCCGGATTTCATCGACCTTGTTGAACTATGTGTTGGCTTTACGTTTTTCCCTCTTTCGAAAATCACCTCTTCAGCAGATTTTTGGGACTACCCAGGGGTTCGCCACTCAGTGCGGTCCTGGCGAACCTATACATGGAACATCTAGAAGCCGAACGTTCTCCACCATTATTCCTTCGTCTGTCACCTGGCTCCGTTATGTTGACGACATTCTCCTCAAAAACTCCTCAACACTTCAACGTTCAAGCTCTCCAAGACAAGCTCAACCAGGTCGAGCCTTCAACCCCAGTTCACACTTGAAGAAAAGTCGACAACACTCTTCCTTTCCTTGATGTTCTGCTCTGCAAAGCTGACCACGAACTTCTTTTTGAAGTCTATCGAAAACCCACCAACCAAACGATCTTCTCCACTTCACTCTCACCACGACACCAAAACCAAAACGTGGTGTAATTATAGGCTTCTTCCTGCGTTTCACTCAGAATCTGCAGCAATGAGTTCCTTGAGGAAGAATGCATATAATTGAACAAGTATTTTCTAAACTCCACTATCCTCGTCACTTCATCAAGACTGCAGACGGCGGGCATTAAACATCTTCACACACCCAGAGAAGACACTGCCGAGAAGAGATACATAGTCCCCCCCACCAACTCCATTGCCAAACATGTTTCCAACATCTTTTCCAATACATCATTCCAAGTATCTACCTCCACAACCACGACCATCAAGGACATCACCAGTAGTAGAGAGGACAAGCCACCGTCCTCTGCAGGGGTATACATAATCCCTTGTAATGACTGCAACAAATTATATGTGGGCGAAACATCAAGAGACCTCCAAACACGTATTTCAGAACACCAATATGCAAGCAGGACTGACGATACAAGGAATGCCTGTGTACAATATCGCAATTCACACAACCATTTAATTAACTACAGAAACTCAAGACTTTACACAAATAACCCGCACATAAAAGAGAGAAGCTTACGACGATGTTTCGGTCCGACTTGGACCATTGTGTTGTGCATGTGTCTTAATTTCATCCTGTCGGTATTATATACAATTCTTGTACTACTTCTACTACTACTACTACTTCCACCTCTTCCTGCCTATATATAGCCGTCCTGCTCCACCTCTGTTTGTGTGACTTTGTCAATGGTCCAAGTCGGACCGAAACGTCGTCGTAAGCTTCTCTCTTTTATGTGCGGGTTATTTGTGTATTGTTCCAGTCACGGTATTGTGCCTTTTTGTTATTTATTTAATAACTCAAGACTTATTGCCACAGAAGACAACACTCAATACCGAAGAATCCTGGAATCATCGCTTATCTCTATAACCAACAATTTCAACCCAGAACAACGGCTTCTATAACATAGCTGAACCACTCACCAAGAAACTTCTTCATCGCTATCCCACATAAGAACATAGAACACTGCAGAAGGTCTACTCACAACTTGTCCAATACCCCTGCCAAGCTACCCAAGACTCTATAACTCCACCCGGTAGATCATCAGATGCAGCATTCTCCACCTGACCTCAACATTCTGAACATGACTATAAATACTCCCGTACCTTCCACCCCATTTAGATCTGTGTGTGACTTGAAAAAGCCCACTGTGTGGGTGAAACGTTGTCAATAAAGGGATCACATTATACTGCATATGTGTTTATATTTCCAGTTGTGATAGTGGTTGATGGTGGTAGAGGGTGGTAGTGATGGTGGTAGTGATGGTTGTAGCAGTTGTAATAATGGTAATAGTTGTAATAGTAGTTGTAATACTGGTTCTTATGTTATTGAGGCTAGGACTTTGGGTAGTTTCAAATTTAGGTTGGATAAATATATGAGTATGAGGGGTTGGATTTGAGTGGGACTTGCAGATGAGTGGATAGTTATTAAAACTTATTTCTTGGGTAGCATTGAAAATTGGGTTGGGCAATGTTTTGTTAGGGGGATGGATTGTAAAGGACCGCCTAGTATGGGGCCCAAAATGGGCCCGCTGCAGTGTTCCTCCTTTCTTTTTTCTTATGTTCTCTGATAGCAAGTCCCACTCAAAACCAACCCTCTCATCATGATTTATCCAACCTATCCTCCTTATGGGGGGGATTCCCCTTCCAAACAATAACCTCTCTTCCCTCTCTCCTCCTCCCTGTCTTCCATTCATCAACAACAGCCTTCAATAAAGGTAACTGTCATGTTGAATGTTCATTCTTTTGTGCATGTAAATCTATCTTTAAGGTAAAAAAAAATTGTTGTTGATACTTCTGGGTGTCAGGAACGGATTAATTGTATTTACATTATTTCTTATGGGGAAAATTTATTTGAAAATCGTAGATTTCGATAATAGTAGCACCTCCAGGAACGGATTAATTACGAAAAACGAGGGGCCACTGTACGTTGGAAACTCTGAAAGGGTTAACAATGGTAATTACATTCCTGTAAATGATACATAAAAAAATTGTGTAAAATGAACTGAAGAACATATGGGAAAAATAGTTACATTCCTTAGACACCCAACAAAACACCCAAATTAATTCTTTGTAGTTTAATTAATATGGCATGTTCAGTAAAAATATACCACAATTTTAGCAGCCCTGTTAACTCTTTGACTGTCGGTATCATATAAATATGTCTTACGAGCTGGTGTTTTTGACATATTATATGCCAAAATTCTAGCAGCTTCAAATCAAGCGGGAGAAAGCTGGTGGGCCCACATGTGAGAGAATGGGTCTGTGTGGTCAGTGTGCGCAGTATAAAAAAAATCCTGCAGCACGCAGTGCATGAGAAAAAAAAACCTCCAACCGTGTTTTTGGATTAAAACGCCGACATTGAGGTGTATTTTTGTATAGTATTTATGGTTGTATTCTCATTTTCTTGATCTCATCTGACAGAATGGAAGACATATTACAAAAATAGAGATGATTTTGATTGGTTTCACTATGAAAAGGACCTTGAAATTGAGTTCAAAGTAGCGGAAATGTTCGATATTTGCCAATGATCAAGAGTAAACAAATGATGTCACCATTTTAGTGCCAGGAATGTCTGCACTGTTTATTCTGGGCCCTATTTTAAAATTGGCATCTTTTTCAATTTGCGTGAAGTTGGCCAAATTGACAATTTCTGACCACTTGATCGGGTAGTTGAAATTGGTAAATGAGCGGTTTCTTGTATTCAACTGATAGAACAAATGGAGTTCTAAAGAAATAGCTATGAGTTTAGTCAACTGGAACAATGGAATTGGCCAAAAATAGCACTCAAAGTGGGTGAAATCGTTGATGCGTATGTATCGCCGAGATCGCTAACTTTGCAAGAGCATAATTCAGTAAGTTTTCCATAAAAATTTGTACTTTTGGTGTCATTACCATCAGGAAAAGATTATCATTTCATAAGAAAAAAAAGATTTTTTTTTTTAATATTTTGTGACACAGAGAGACACTTCAGGATTTGGGGTCTCGACAGTCACAGGGTTAATGCAACAGTATTGACTCATGACATGTTAGCCAACTGTATACTGTACAGTACTGATACGTTAGTTAAGCCAGGTTAATTTCTTATATATTGATTGTGAAATCTTAAGTGGAAATAAAGGTGAATCCTACATAACTGTTACTCAGAATTACAATTAAAAATATACTGTAGAACCAGTTTTAGTATGGTAAACAGGCTGTTTTCAGCCTCCTCCTCACTGCATCATTCAAACCCTGTATGGGTGTGAAGCATGGGTTTTGAATGTTGCAGTGAAGAGGAGGCTGATGGCAGTGAAGATGTTGTGTCTGAGGGCAATGTGTGGTGTGAATATTATGCAGCATATCAGAAGACTGAGGAAGGGTTGTTGAGGTGGTTTGGACAAAGAGATGATGCAGAAAATGGGATGACTAGGAGGGCATATAAATCTGTGGTGAAGGGAAAGATGAGTAGGGGTTGTTCAAATAAAGGTTGGAGGGAGGAGATAAACAACAGCTTGTGTGTGTTAGACGGAAGTGGAGGCAAGTGGTTTATGTGATTTGACGTCTTGTTGGTTTAATGAAGGGATTTAGGGAAATGTGTTAGCCAGACTCAAGTCCTGGAGGTGGGATGTTGGAAGTACAGCACCTGCACTCTGATGGAGGGGTAGGGATGTTGCAGTCTGGAGGATCCTCTGAACTGTCAGACAGTGATTGATTAAGTGCAAGTGTTTTCTTCTTTGTTGGGTCACCCTACCTCAGTGGAAGACAGCCAGTGTTAAAATAAAAATTAAACAGTACCGCAAATATCTTTCCAGTTCTTAACTGTGTGCTGCAAGAATGTAATTGATCAGGGTGTCACTGAGTACGTTTGGTTTCAGATTCTAATTTTATGAAGCCAGTATACGATAAATTTCAGGCATGCTGTCAGTTATTTTATTGTTTATGACTTTCCTACAGATAGGTGATCGTGAAGCTCTAGTTCAAAAGGTGAACTGCATCACAACCAATACGGCATCCTTACGACTAAATCTAGGAAAGGTCTGGCCAATCAGAATGAACGAAAAGGGAGATGTGCCATGGGTCACAGAAATTGAAAAGGTATAGTTTCTTATTCTCATTTTGGGCATCACTGGTAGACAAATACAGTAGGGCCCCACTTATACAGCAGGTTAGGTTCCAAGCTACTGCCGGAAAGCAGACATCACAAGAAAGCAGAACGCCATTTTTTCCACTTATAAATGCATATAAATGCCAGATAGCAAGTTTAATTTATTATTATCACACTGGCCGATTCCCACCAAGGCAGGGTGGCCCGAAAAAGAAAAACTTTCACCATCATTCACTCCATCACTGTCTTGCCAGAAGGGTGCTTTACACTACAGTTTTTAAACTGCAACATTAACACCCCTCCTTCAGAGTGCAGGCATTGTACTTCCCATCTCCAGGACTCAAGTCCGGCCTGCCGGTTTCCCTGAACCCCTTCATAAATGTTACTTTGCTCACACTCCAACAGCACGTCAAGTATTAAAAACCATTTGTCTCCATTCACTCCTATCAAACACGCTAACGCATGCCTGCTGGAAGTCCAAGCCCCTCGCACACAAAACCTCCTTTACCCCCTCTCTCCAACCTTTCCTAGGCTGACCCCTACCCCGCCTTCCTTCCACTACAGACTGATACACTCTTGAAGTCATTCTGTTTCGCTCCATTCTCTCTACATGTCCGAACCACCTCAACAACCCTTCCTCAGCCCTCTGGACAACAGTTTTGGTAATCCCGCACCTCCTCCTAACTTCCAAACTACGAATTGTCTGCATTATATTCACACCACACATTGCTCTCAGACATGACATCTCCACTGCCTCCAGCCTTCTCCTCGCAGCAACATTCATCACCCATGCTTCACACCCATATAAGAGCGTTGGTAAAACTATACTCTCATACATTCCCCTCTTTGCCTCCAAGGACAAAGTTCTTTGTCTCCACAGACTCCTAAGTGCACCACTCACTCTTTTCCCCTCATCAATTCTATGATTCACCTCATCTTTCATAGACCCATCCGCTGACACGTCCACTCCCAAATATCTGAATACATTCACCTCCTCCATACTCTCTCCCTCCAATCTGATATTCAATCTTTCATCACCTAATCTTTTTATCCTCATAACCTTACTCATTCCTGTATTCACCTTTAATTTTCTTCTTTTGCACACCCTACCAAATTCATCCACCAATCTCTGCAACTTCTCTTCAGAATCTCCCAAGAGCACAGTGTCATCAGCAAAGAGCAGCTGTGACAACTCCCACTTTGTGTGTGATTCTTTATCTTTTAACTCCACGCCTCTTGCCAAGACCCTCATTTACTTCTCTTACAACCCCATCTATAAATATATTAAACAACCACGGTGACATCACACACATCCTTGTCTAAGGCCCTACTTTTACTGGGAAATTAATTTCCCTCTTTCCTACATACTCTAACTTGAGCCTCACTATCCTCGTAAAAACAATTCACTGCTTTCAGTAACCTACCTCCTACACCACACACTTGCAACATCTGCCACATTGCCCCCCTATCCACCCTGTCATACGCCTTTTCCAAATCCATAAATGCCACAAAGACCTCTTTAGCCTTATCTAAATACTGTTCACTTATATGTTTCACTGTAAACACCTGGTCCACACACCCCCTACCTTTCCTAAAGCCTCCTTGTTCATCTGCTATCCTATTCTCTGTCTTACTTTTAATTCTTTCAATAATAACTCTACCATACACTTTACCAGGTATACTCAGCAGACTTATCCCCCTATAATTTTTGCACTCTCTTTTATCCCCTTTGCCTTTATACAAAGGAACTATGCATGCTCTCTGCCAGTCCCTAGGTACCTTACCCTCTTCCATACATTTATTAAATAACTGCACCAACCACTCCAAAACTATATCCCCACCTGCTTTTGACATTTCTATCTTTATCCCATCAATCCCGGCTGCCTTACCCCCTTTCATTTTACCTACTGCCTCACAAACTTCCCCCACACTCACAACTGGCTCTTCCTCACTCCTATAAGATGTTATTCCTCCTTGTCCTATACACGAAGTCACAGCTTCCCTATCTTCATCAACATTTAACAATTCCTCAAAATATTCCCTCCATCTTCCCAATACCTCTAACTCTCCATTTAATAACTCTCCTCTCCTATTTTTAACTGACAAATCCATTTGTTCTCTAGGCTTTCTTAACTTGTTAATCTCACTCCAAAACTTTTTCTTATTTTCAACAAAATTTGTTGATAACATCTCACCCACTCTCTCATTTGCTCTCTTTTTACATTGCTTCACCACTCTCTTAACCTCTCTCTTTTTCTCCATATACTCTTCCCTCCTTGCATCATTTCTACTTTGTAAAAACTTCTCATATGCTAACTTTTTCTCCCTTACTACTCTCTTTACATCATCATTCCACCAATCGCTCCTCTTCCCTCCCGCACCCACTTTCCTGTAACCACAAACTTCTGCTGAACACTCTAACACTACATTTTTAAACCTACCCCATACCTCTTCGACCCCATTGCCTATGCTCTCATTAGCCCATCTATCCTCCAATAGCTGTTTATATCTTACCCTAACTGCCTCCTCTTTTAGTTTATAAACCTTCACCTCTCTCTTCCCTGATGCTTCTATTCTCCTTGTATCCCATCTACCTTTTACTCTCAGTGTAGCTACAACTAGAAAGTGATCTGATATATCTGTGGCCCCTCTATAAACATGTACATCCTGAAGTCTACTCAACAGTCTTTTATCTACCAATACATAATCCAACAAACTACTGTCATTTCGCCCTACATCATATCTTGTATACTTATTTATCCTCTTTTTCTTAAAATATGTATTACCTATAACCAAACCCCCTTCTATAGAAAGTTCAATCAAAGGGCTCCCATTATCATTTACACCTGGCACCCCAAACTTACCTACCACACCCTCTCTAAAAGTTTCTCCTACTTTAGCATTCAGGTCCCCTACCACAATTAATCTCTCACTTGGTTCAAAGGCTCCTATACATTCACTTAACATCTCCCAAAATCTCTCTTCTCCAGGTGCATACATGCTTATTATGGCCCACTTTTCGCATCCAACCTTTACTTTAATCCACATAATTCTTGAATTTACACATTCATATTCTCTTTTCTCCTTCCATAACTGATCATTTAACATTACTGCTACCCCTTCCTTTGCTCTAACTCTCTCAGATACTCCAGATTTAATCCCATTTATTTCCCCCCACTGAAACTGCCCTACCCCCTTCAGCTTTGTTTCACTTAGGGCCAGGACATCCAACTTCTTTTCATTCATAACATCAGCAATCATCTGTTTCTTGTCATCCGCACTACATCCACGCACATTTAAGCATCCCAGTTTTATAAAGTTTTTCTTCTTCTCTTTTTTAGTAAATGTCTACAGGAGAAGGGGTTACTAGCCCATTGCTCCCGGCATTTTAGTCGCCTCATACATATATTAAGTTAGCAATAGAAATAGGCATTAAAACAAAAGAGTAAAATACACACACAGTACACTCATTATTTACCTCAAAATATTCGTAGTCTTAATGTAGGGCAAAAGGTGAGTAGTATTTACTGTAAGAAGTTAGGTGTGGTGGCCCTCCTGGCCACCCCACCCACACATAATATACTACAAAAATGCTTAAAGCTCTGTAGAGTGATAAAATACATGTACAGTACACTCATTACTTACCTTAAAATATTTGTAGTCTTAATGTAGGGTAAAAGATGAAAATTATTTATTTGTATAAAGTCGTGTGGTAGGTAGGGTAGTGTAGGGAAGCCAGTCTGGCCACCCCACCCACTATGTAAACAGACGATGCGTCTCGTTATGGTTCATAAACGTTCATACAAACACCTTACATTGTGTACAAGTTGTCTCCACAGTGGTACAGTAGAATAAATGAAGACCAACACTTCCATTCTCATGTAATTTTTTGATGGAATGATGCTCTGACAAATTATTATTATTCTTTCTTTCTTTGTTGGGTTTATCAGGGCCACTGCCAGCATAAGCTGTACCGAGCCCGGTTTCTCGATGGTACGAAGAAGATTTGTTGCCCAAGGCTGGGCGATGAAAGAAAAGGAACAAAAGTGCCTTTGTAAATAGAGATAGAGACTTGAAGTTTCCAATTAGATCTGGTGGACCCCCTTGCCAAGCCCCAGCAGAGAGGGATGCCCACACTCCCACCTGAGTTCAGTAACCAGCTTCCCACCAAAGACCATTAGAGAATTTTCCACAGAGCAGAAAAAAGGAACTGGCTAAAGTAAGCCGATGAACAGGTGCCCCTCCTGTAGAGTGCCCGGCGGTTAAAATAGATGAGGAAAAGCGTCCCAGAGAGAACAGTGGAAATTTGTCACTGATACACAGGCAAGAGAGAGAGACGTCTACATCCGACGAAGGCTGGCGCAGAAGTCAATTATTATTTTTTTTTTTTTTTAACAAGTCGACCGTCTCCCACTGAGGCAGGGTGACCCAAAAAGAAAGAAAATCCCCAAAAAGAAAATACTTTCATCATCATTCAACGCTTTCACCTCACTCACACATAATCACTGTTTTTGCAGAGGTGCTCAGAACACAACAGTTTAGAAGCATATACGTATAAAGTAGGTAGTAGGTTGGTAGACAGCAACACCCAGGGGGATACTACCGTCCTGCCAAGTGAGTGTGAAACAAAAGCCTGTAATTGTTTTACATGATGGTAGGATTGCTGGTATCTTTTGTCTGTCTCATAAACATGCAAGATTACAGGTACGTCTTGCTACTTCTACTTACACTTAGGTCACACTACACATACATGTACATGTTTATTTATACACACTCATCTGAGTTTTCTTCGATTTTATCTTAATAGTTCTTGGTCTTATTACTTTTCCTTTTATATCCATGGGGAAGTGGAATAAGAATCTTTCCTCTGTAAGCCATGCGTGTTGTAAAAGTCAACTAAAATGCCAGGAACAATGGGCTAGTAACCCCTTTTCCTGTAATAATTACTAAAAATAAGAACATAAGAACTTAAGAAAGGAGGAGCACTGCA